GCCTCAAGGGAGGCTGTAAAGGGGTGAATGTGACCTGATCAAAATTGGGGGTGGGGGGACCTCATTAGCAAAGGACTAGAAGAAGGTGGCAGTCATCATCATCCAGTTTGAGGTGTCTGGAGAGCGCGCCCAGGACAGTGCCTGAGCAGGGCTGGCGCCCACGCTGCCATCTGGAACTCGCCTCCCTGGTTCTGGGAAGGGACATGCCGAGGCCCTGCTCCCTTTGAGGGGTCCCCAAAGGAATGTCTTGAATCAGCCTGGAAGCTGTGTCCTGGGAGAAGGTTGCCGTGTGCAACGTACTACACAATTTGGAAAAAAACTATCAGGAATTTCAAATGTACATACTGTTTGATCGGCAATTAAATTCCTAAGAATTTATTCTACAGCTTCGCTCACATAAGCAGCAGAGACATGTAAAAAGTGCTCACTGCACCTCCCTGGTAACAAGACGCCAAAAACAAGCCAGATGTCCATTAACAGGGGCCAGGGATACAGGACCGTTGAGCGTGGTTTAGCGACGAGGACGAGCCAAGCTACCGCCATCTGTACCCCTGAGGTACGGGGGCACGGCGGCCCCTACAGGGCACTTTGACCACAGCTCCTGGAGCGGGCAAGCCCTGACTGGCCTTGCCCGCAGCGACCGGAAAACCCAGCCAGGAACCTGGACACCAGCAGACGCAGCCCTGGCTGAGTCACTTGCAGCTGTGTGGTCTGAAGCAACTCGCCCCACCTCTCTGTGCCCCGTGCCGCGTGTGTCATCCGCTTACATTTTCCAGAGTCAACCACAACTGTATCTTCCTTCCCACAGGCATGGACACGGGGGGATCCCCTGCCAGGAGGAGGGGGTCTGTCTCCCTTCCTCGGAGACAGGGGAAGTGGTGACGCACTTGTGACCGGGGAAAGGCTGCGGAGGTGATGCCATGTGACTTCCCAGGCTGCTCCATGCCCACATCACACTCCTGTTCTTCGGAAGGCCAGTGCCCGCAGCCCTGAGCCCCACGGAAGAAGTCCCCGAAACCCGAGGGGGCTGCTCCATGAGGAGACACGGCAGGGCACAGACACAGGGGCTTTGGAGACTTGGGCCCTCTGAGCCCAGGCACTGGGCCTCCCAGCCTGTGAGGGCTCCGCGAGCGGGAAGCTCCGATACAGACTGGCTGCGCGTCCACGCCCAGGTCGAGGCGCTGCTGTTACAGGACACTAAGAGTGTGTGCTCCACAGTGATAGGAACAGGAAAGGGCATGTCGGGGGGCTCACACAACTAGCTAAGTCAACGAGCCTGCCTGTGGGGCTCAGTGAGCCCCAGCCTCGCCCTTGAATGCCTTCTGTTGTCAGGTAACACCCTGACAAAGACTTGTGGACATCCGCATCCACAAACACTCTAGCCCAGACACATCCAGTCTCATCTGGAGCACCAGCATCTTGCAGACAAGGACCAGGCCTGGCCCAGCCCTTTAGATGGCCACACTAGGCTCCGCATGCGATGAATGAACAGATGAATGACTTTGTCTTGCAGAATGGAAACACCTAAGACAGAGACTAGACCTCAGTCATCTCAGTCAGCCCAAAGCCCTGCACCCAGTAGGTGCTCGATTAATTCCAGGCTATGACCTCACCATAACCCCACCATCATTTCTGTTAAAGAACTTGTCAACTTTTTCCCATCATGGGAATTTTTTTTTTTTTTTTTTTGCTAAAAACCTTTAAATTTTTAAAGGGTAATGTGGTAACCAAGCCAACTCCGGACTATCTGTTTAATCTTCCTTCTCCTAAATATTAGCTCAGACGGAAAAGCAGCCTGCCCTCTCTGTGTATCTTTCTCTGTGTATACTTCAGGCCTGAAGGTTGCAAAACCAGCACGAACGCAAGATGCTTGGCGGTCTTGAGAGAGGACGGGCAGGCCTGCCGACGAGGGCTGCTGCAGCACAGATGTGACGCATCTGCCGGGAGAGAAGGCTGTCTCACCACGAGCCATTCTCAGCGACAGGCCTCGGCACCTCTGTGACCCGAGGGCAGGACGGTTTCCAGCTGGCCTCTGGCGAGGACCCACCTCAGCCAGGCTGTGGCATCCTGCCAGAGCCGGCCCCAGTGCAGCCCCTAGTTCGTGTGCTGCAGGGCCAGGGCTGCACGCTCAGTGTGTGGTTTTTACAGGACGTATGTTGCTCTTCATTAACGCTTGGGCAGTAGGAACAGTGCCTGCATGGACATGCACACGCAAATATGAGCTTGCCATGCACACGTGTGCGTGCCTCTTTATGCAGACACACCCACCGATGCGCTCCTGTTGCTCCACCCGCGGCGCACGTGGGATGAAGGCCCATCCTGGTGCAGACGCCCAGATGCAGGCAGGAGTGGACACTGGACCAGCTCTGCATCAGATGCTTGCGACCCTGGCCGGTGCCGCCCTCTCTCGGGCCACCTCTGTGACCACTCCCTCTCCCTCTCTCAGCCCGAAGCCAGCACGATCCCTGGAAACAGTGCTCTGGTCAAGCCCCCACAGACGCACCAGGTCTGTCCAAGTAGAAGCTGCAGTTCTTAGGATGATCTTAAAAACCCTGAGCAGGGATATCTGGTACTTTCTGCAATGATAGGACATTCTAGAGCCACGCTATTCAATATGTTGGCCACAGGTGACTACTGAGCAATCGAGATGTGGCTAGCATGGCTGAGGAGTTCATTTTTAACTTCATTTTATTTTTTAGTTTTTCTTAAAGATTTATTTATTTATTTATACAAGCACTGGGTACAGTCAGAAGCGCAGGAGGGTGAGAGAATTCACCAGAGCCAGAGCGGGGAGCAGAGCAGGCAGAAGGACCGAAGTACACTGCTGAGGGGAGCAGCGGGCGGCAGGAGAGGTCTGCGCGCCGTGCGGGACCCTCCTCTGGTGGCCGGGGAGCAGCCGGGGATCGAACTGGCGCTGCAGAGGCTGCGGGCAGCTTCGCAACCCAGCGCTCAAGCGCTGCGCCACCAGGGAGGCCCTAACTTCGTTTTATTTTAACAAACCCAAATGTAAGTGAAAGGAGACAAGTGAGACCAGTGGCCCCAAATTGCCCAGCACACACGCAGGAGACCTCCTGCTGACACCCTCCCACCTGACTACTTCCTTGACCTCGTCCACCTACTGTCCCTTCCCCTCTCCACTCCAGCGGCGCGGGGCACCGCGCTGCTCTCCCACTGCACAGCCCTCACAGGTGACCAGTAAATAGCTTAACAGGAAACTGAACCAAGTGCCGTCCACCGGTTTCACTTCACCTTCCCACATGTCGTGTCCAACCGCCCCTGGCTCCCAAGGTCCTGGGCCTTAATTCCCACGTTCAGGTACAAAGCCCTGGACTGAAATAGCCACCAGCAGTCCCCAGGCAGCCCGCCTTGGGTGACCCTGTGGAGCTTTCTCTATCGACCACCTGTAACTGGCTGGCAGCAGAGGGAGCAGCCCCGACAGGCAGACCTGTGCTGCTGACTCAGTTCCTAAAAACCTCTTCTCACCAGCCTTCTCAGAAGCTGGGCTGGCGAGACTGTTATTGTAGAAAGTTCCAGGTGCTTCGCTCCCTAGCTCCCTTCCAATGGGATGAGGAAGGAAGACAGACTCTTCAGTGAGAACCCGGGGCTGGCGCCCACGCCCACACGGTGCTAGCAGAGCAGGCCTGGCTCCCCTACCGGGCCAAGCCCTCCTGTGAGCTGTGGCTCCACGGGCTGGTCTCTTGCACCGTGGAAAAAATCCTCCGAAACGCTCTATGAACCTGGATGCGCCCAAGCTACAAATGCATCTAGACTCTGTCCCCTCCGGAATTCTGTTTTGCTTTGCCTTCCTCCGGAGCACTTTGTCTCTGTAACAATACCCAGATCTCCCCGAAATATCGGGAAGGCTGTTGTTTGCGGCTGACAGATTCCCCCGCCCGAGCGCACTGCAGCCGCCAAGGATTTATAAGCGCAGCACTCTGCTGGCCCCAGCAGCGCGTCGTCTTGGGGCCAAATTAAGTCTTTAAATGGTAGGGAGGCATTTAGATTTCTCTTCTGCCCAGCTGACAGTAGGTTTACGGTTTATAATCTGGCCTTTGTAAAAGCATTTGTCAGCCTGGATATTCCATTTTAAGCCCGACCACCCATGCAGAGGGACAGGCAGGAAGCGGCCCTTCATTTGCACCAACCGTCAAGTTGGAGGTTGGCTGCAAAATTACAGAATTCAGTCGCAAAGGGGGACTTTTTTGGCATTATCTACTTTGCATCTCAGCAGCGAACGCAGCCCTTGTTTATATGAAGCAATTCCTGAATGCTAAATTTGGAAATTTTACGTATTCCTCTAATCCGCCAGGTCCCAAGCAGGACGGGGCCCCTCCAAGAAGCCGCTCCATTCCCTGGCATTCCTCAGGTCTCTGGTTGAACCTCCCAGTGTGATAGGGAAGGCCAGAGAGCGGCAGACTGGGCAGCCGGGCCCGGGCAGCACCCAGCCCCGGCACTTCCCTGGGCAGCCAAGGAGGCGCGCTGTGGCCGGACAGCGGTTTTATTTTTAAGTGTCTGTGTACAAATGTATATAAGACGGCTCCCGCAGGGCCGGCCCAGCCCAATCTTTGGCTGCATCTCAGGGCTTTGGTCCATGGGAGTGGGCCCCGGAGGAGAGGGAGGTCTGGGCCAAGGGAGCACAGATTGATAAGGAACGTCAGTAGCCCGAGCTGGTATGAGCGGGAGAAGGAATGTGATGTGATGAGTAACACTCGTGTTTTATCTGCATTGCTTGAAGACATCTTCAAGGGAGGAAATCACACCGTTTGGGGCGACTGATAAAGGAGATAGAGCTGGCCACGCTTACAGAGCAGGCTCGCTGCCCCCTCCCCCCAAATCCTCTACCTGAGCAAAATCGTTGGAATTTGGCTTTGAGTCTTCCTGCTGCTGCTGCAACATTTTATCACATACCGGTCACCTCCCAGAAGTCTGGGCTCTCCTAAGCACCCCTCCTCAAGCCTCCCTGCTGCTGCCAGCCTGCCCCCACTACAGCACACACTTACCTGTCTCAACCCTCTGCATGGCACGCTGTCACCATCAGAGAGTCAAGGAGCAGTTGGCGGACAGGGGCGTAGATGCCTACAACCACGAGGGAGCTGTGAGGAGCTTGCCAACCTCCCATCTTCAGCTCTCTCCCTGCCCTGGCACTGCCACCCACGACCCGGGCGTGCAGGACCTGCCAAGACATAGAAGAAATGACCCCTGAGTGTGCGGTGCTGACAGCAAGCGGTGACTCCGCGCGTCCCGTCCCCTTCCTGTCTCGGCGCCTTGGCAGACCCTGAAACAAGGGCTCATGCGCAGGAACAGTGGGGCAGCGAGGCCAAGGACGCCCCTGGGGTTGGCAGCAAGCACAGGAGGAAGCACCCCATGAAGCGAGTCACACAGGGGGAGCACAGTCCTACCGAGGCGCTCCATGGGACAGTGTAGAGCACGCACTCCAGAGGCCGCGGCCCTAAGTGGACAGGGGGCTGGGGGAGCCCGAGGGACATGCCCAGGTGCGTTATTTCCCAACACGCCGGGCCGCTGCGCACGGCCAGGGCCAGGGCCAAGGCCAGCGCTCGCCGCCAGACAAAGGCCTCAGGCAAAGGCACAGGAGCGGGCACTGAACGTGGGAGCACGGCTGCCAGAAGGACGCGGAGGGGCCATGAGAGGCCCAGAGAGCTCCAGTCAGGCTGCCAGGAAGGATGGAGCCAGAGCCCAAGCCGGGGACCTCGTCCACACCGCCACGCCACCACCGCTCTCCCAGGCGCGACGCCTGGCTTCTCGGCACAGCTTGCTCTTGCCACCGCGGAGTTTCTGCTCAGGCCTCTCAGCCCCGAGGCACCTGTGCTACGGAGGACCAGGTGCTCTATCTGGGTCGCTGCTTCACATGCCAGCCCAGTGGCTGTCACCACTGAGCTTCGAGAGAGGATTTCGCCAGAAAGCACTTTGCCCTCCAATAAGCTATGACTCCAGGGACGTGTGAGAGGGCTGTGGAGACTTGTATTTCCTCAGCGACCACACGGCTGCTGGGTTAGCGGAGCACAGACGGCCGCAGCTGCACACGGAACAGCTCCTGATCACCTCAAGTATGACAAGAGAACGCGACCCTCGCGCCTCCCAGGCCAGTGACAGGCCCACTAGCAGCAGCAGCAAAGACACCGCACGTGAGGGGCTCACAGAAGGGCAGACACAAGAATGGGGCAAACTCATTTGTCCAGGGGAAAGGAACATGTTCCCCTACACTATTCCTGGGGTGTGAGATGATGTTTCTCCCAAAGACATGGGCGTTCCTCTCCATCAGCGATCCCTTCAGCTCCTCAGGGAATGCCAGTCACCACACTTGCTATCGAAAAAGCTCTAAAGGGAGGCCTGCCTCCCTGAAATGCTCAAGGCCGATGTGTACACAGGCCAGCACCCCAGTTTTGCCACGTGGCGCACAGAGCAGGCACGTAACCCAGAGATACTCATGCAGTGGTTTCTCCTGTTTAACAGAAAGTCTTAGGAGTGTGCGGTGCTTTACTATGTGAGACAGATCAACATGAAGCCAATGTGACAGAAACAGGGTAACAGGTTCTGGCTGGAGCTTCTATTTCCCCTGCGTCTCATGCTGTTGCTCTTACCTGGCTGTAGTGGCAGGAAGGCCACAGAGCAGGATATCCACAATCCGAGCAGCCCGGATAAAGGAGAGCCCCAGAGCCCTCAGTGGCTTTCTCAGGCTTTTATTGAGCTTTTGCATGTAGTGCAGCAACCAGGTCCATGGCAGGCAGGGGTGCCGGGGGGCAGGGGGGGCCAGGAGGCCAGTAGGCCTCCAAGCCCCCAGCAAGTCTTCACTCTGGGCTTCTCTGGCTTCTTTCTCCCCTTCCCTCTCCTGCCTCTGCCAGGCCCACTGGAGTAAACAACACAGCTTATAACAGTGTAACAACTGCAGGTGCCCGCCTTCAATCAATCCTAATGGTGGGAGGGCAGAAAAGCCTGAAAACCATTTAGCCTGTGGGCCATGCTACCCCGAGGGGCTGAAAAGGATGGCCTGCAAGCCACTGATCAAGACCAAATCCGCACCCGGCACAGGAGAACAGTAAGGCCAAGGGAGGTTCAGGATCATCTGGGCATCAAAACAGAGCAGGTCAGAAGACAGCGAATCAGAACTCAGTTCCTAACTCTGTGCTGCCCTCAAGAGCTACAGATAAACCAGGGCACTGAGGGATTCCGGGGGACCAGGCCTCAGCAGCGGAGCTAAAGGGCCCTTGAGTAAAGGCTACCCGAGACCTTCCCTAATAAGATTAAAAACAAGCTTCAAAGGATCAAGCTGATTTTCACGGAACTTAACCTCCTGCCAAAATAAACTTCAGCCCTGTTTAAAGGAAGATGAACCAAATCCAACAACTCAATAACAAGCATTTGTAATGTTTGGCATCCAATCAAAAATCACTAGACATGTGAAAAGCAGTAAAATGTGACCTATAACCAGGATAAAAATCAGTCAAAAGAAGCTGAGCCAAAAGTGACAAGAATGTTAGAATTAACACAGAAGAACTTTAAATAACTGTGAGAGACGTGTTCAAGGATGTAAAGAAAAACATGAACATAATGGAGAAGGAATTGGAAGCTATGAAAAGGACCTAGTAGGGTTTTTAAAGATGAAACTATTACTATTACTATTCCATCTAAAATAAGGAATTCACAGAGGGGCTTTACAGAAGAACAATCATCGTGGAGAAAAGACCACAGCCTTGCAGACACAGCTACGGCAACCACGTAAATCAAAAGGGTTCTAGGGGCGACATCAAAGAGTCTACCATGCTGGGAATTGAAGTCCCAAAGGAAAGCAGACAGGGAAAGGGATTGAAAAATAATTGACATAATGGCTAAGATTTTTCCAAATTTGTTGAAAACTATAAACCCACTGATCCAAGATCAATGAAACTCAAACAAGAAAATATAAAGAAAACCACGAGGACGCTCATCAGGAGGAAACCGCTAAAAAAATAGTAACGATGATAAGGAATAAAAGTGAAAGGCCAGTGGAAGGAAGACAATGAATGCAGAGGAACAATGTAAGAACGCGCACAGATCCCACTAGGAAAAAGCAGTCAGAAGACGCCGTATCAACCGTTTAAAGCGATGAAGGAAAAGCTACCCTTTAGAATTCCACACCTAGTGACAACTACTTGCAAAAATGTAGGTTAAAATAAAATCATCTTTTTAAAACAAAAAGTTGAGAAAACTCATGGCTCGTGGACTTGAGCTACAAAAACTGTCTAAGGAAATTGGTGACGATGAAGCGCCTCTGGAGGTAACCTGGTTCTCCACAACCACAGTGCCGGACACGGAAGTCTGAGCACACCAGACCGCTTTCTCTACTCTTTGAAAAAAGTATTCTAACAGTTGACTGATTCAAAACACATCAGTGTCTCGAGGGCCTTATTACACGCAGAAGCAGTAAGTCTGCGTCCCCGCGGCAGAAACCAGGGCAGTGAATGGAGTTCAGCGTTGCACGCCCTTCCGTCGCAGGTGACGAGACAGTCACCGAAGACAGGCTGCGGCCAACACCGAGACAGCGGTGCCCGCAGCGAACACCGCACGGGAGGCAACGGGGTGAAGCAGTAAGCTAGCCGTGGAGAGAAAAGTGCAATGCGAAGGCGCAGTCAATCCAGAAGGAGGCAGGCAGGGGAAAAGGAACAAGGAAGAAGCAGAACACATGCCCGCAGGCGTGGGGATGGAGCGCAGGTGTGAGTCCGCAGGAGGCGCACAGACAAGACAGCTCCGTCAGGGGCCGCGAGGGCGAGGGTGTCGCTGACACCCTTCCGCAGGCCCCTCAGAGCGCCGTGCTCTCCCCAGTGCCCCGCGGGCTCCGTCCTCAGCCTAGCGCCTAGAGGCAGCCGCAACCAGCACCGCAGGAGCACCCAGATCTCGACTTCTCGTATCCCGCAACAGAATGAAGACGGACTCCTTGGGAGAACGGGGGATTCTCAGGCTGGAGCAGGAAGAACCCGGGACGCGCCTGGGCTGTCTGGTGGCGCAGCAAGGACAGATGCGCTCACGCTCACACCCCACAGTGGCCAGGGCAAAGGGACACAGAGGCAATGGACAGAGCGCCCCGTGTCAGACTTGGACTGACAGAGAATGAAGCCCTGAATTATACACCTGACGTGAAACACGAATAGCCACGAGCGGCTACGTGTGTGCGGGAGAAGACACGTCTCCCGCGCGGAGGAACTCCGTCCCACGTGAGGACGCCGCAGCCACAGAGGGGCAGCTCCACCCTCCACCGGCGTGGACCGCCCGCCCGCAGGACCCGGTGTGAATGAACTTCACAGTGGCGAAGCCCGGTGAGCGTGCCCCATAGGTGCCCGGTCACCAACTCTGACAGAGCCAGGACAGGGACCCAAACCTGACCCAGCCTGGGCAACACGGGGCCACAGCACCTTCCTTTCGGCCCGTGTGTCAGCTCTGACCTCTGACTCGGGGAACACCGTGGGTCACGGGAGGCACGGGCGGCTGTCCTCTGCCTGCGTCGGCCGCAGGTGCGCTTCGCTCGTGGGGGGCGCTGGCCCCTCATCGCAGAGCCATGGCGAATTCCACAGGCCAGCATCGGGCTGGCTCCGGTGGACGTGAGGAGGAGGCCACTGGATGTGAGCTGAGAGGCCTGGGCCACGCCGCAAAGCAGGATTCTGCAGAGGAGGCAGCCACCAGAACGCCAGCCTCCAGATGGAGCCGGGGAGCAGGGAAGGCAGCCGCTGGGCCTCCTGGGATGGAGCAAAATGCTCCCCTGAGCACAGTTAAGGAGGGGCTCCTGGGAAGATCGAGAGCTGGCGGTCTGCGCAGCCAGTGCAGCCCTGGCCTGGCTGCCGAGGGTGATTCCGGGACAGACAGTGATTAAACTGCTTATGGTTTTGGCTTGAAACCCACAGAGCTTGATGCAAAAGGACAATGATCTAAGAGCCAGGCCCATGCAGAGCCTGAGATTGAAGGCTGTAGCCAGGCCCGCCCATCCCCCAAGCCATCTGTCCTGCCCCGGAGGGGACCTGGGGAGCCTCGTGGCCAAGGGATGTCACTGGAGGAGGACGGACGCCGGAGTCAGTGAGACCTGGGTTCAAATCCTTGTACTGCCATTAATGCTTGTTCCCTAGGGCTTCCAGAACACAGCACCCCACAGCTCCTGAGTCCACAAGTCCGAGCTCTAGTATTCGGGGG